CTCACATTCTGTCATTTGAAACTCACACATAATGCGCTGCAACACTGCCACTTGAAACTCACACCTAATGCACTGAAACACTGCTGTTAAAATGCCTCACATTGTCACTTGAAACCCACATAATGCACTGCAACACTGCCATTAAAATGCCTCACATTCTGTCAGCTGAAACTCACACATAAAGCGCTGCAACACTGCCACTTGAAACTCACACCTAATGCACTGAAACACTGCTGTTAAAATGCCTCACACTGTCACTTGAAACCCACATAAAGCGCTGAACACTGCCATTAAAATGCCTCACATTCTGCCAGCTGAAATGTCTTCACATCATTAAGAGTTTAAACTAGAGCAGTGAAGGTTGATGTTTTCCAAGAAGTGTTTCTGTCATGGCCTGGGTAGTCATGCAGCATCTATAGCATGTTCTTGCTAATCTTACCACGCTACTTGTACAGAACAGTATTTGCAATTTGTTGGCAGTGTTCACATCTATCCTTTGTTGAAGTGACTGTGTTAGCAGAGGGCTACATTTGCATGTAGACCTGTTTGAAATATGGTTGCTCTGACTGGCTGTGTTTCGGCTGGATGAGGTACTGATGGTTAGTCCTTTAACTTTTTAGCCTAATTCCTTATTTTGAAAAAACTGACAGCAGGCTTAAATGATCTCCATGTTGTCCATGTATCCCCCATCAACTTCTGAATGGCTGAACCAGTATTTTATCAAACTTTTTACATATCTCATAGCACCTGAGCCCATCTCAACAGCGTACTTCAACCTCCCGCCCCCACCCCCCTCAATCTGTGCATCCCCCTATCATTGCTAGGCAACAGCTCAGTAGAAATATTACCAGAGGAATGAATAAACATGCAACAGAAGAACTGCTGGCCACCTCATTTTCTATGCAGTCTGGGTGGCATCGAGGGAAGTAGGTGATTAGTAAGGCCCAGATGTTTTGAAAATGCATATTTTGAGGGCTTTTAGTCGTTAGTGCATAGTTCTGCATATGTTTGGAATTAAGGATAATTTCAAAGTTCTCTAACAAAATCGGTTTTGCCTGTGTTTTGGACATCCCTTGCCAGCTGCTATTCCCAACTCTCTGATTAACGGCACTTTTACCACCTACAATACAAGCAGGTAGCTTGGCTATTTCAAAAGGGAGGGGGTGGGATTTCCCTGCATTTCTTTGACCACCACAGCAGACAGTAGCATCAGAGGGTTGGTCTCGAGGGAAGTCTCTTCAATTAATGTTACTCTTTACTTTAATAGTCTGCGTCAAAAAAGTGTTTGTGTACCGAAAATGCCTTAAGAAAAGTGCAGCAGTAGATATTTAAAAATTCGGTGGGTGTCAGGCAATACTCACTATTCAACAGACGGTGTCATCGTGTACTGTCAAGTGCGTGCAAAGGAAGTAAAATGTGAAAAGAAATTTCAACTTGAACAACACTCAAGAACGACTGCACATATTACGGCAAAGAAGGGGAAGAACAGCAGCACACGACAACTACTTCTTACACAGGTCAAACCCAAATCCTATGTTAACCTTTAAGAGATAGGCCATTTAAATTCCCGTAGTGGCAGCAGGCTGGAGTTAATTTAAATGTCCGCCATTGTAGAGTATTACAAATTGTAAGCATGTTACTGAAAATGCTGTGATGTCTACAATTTTTGTGATAAACGAATGAAAGAAACACTGCCTTTATCTAGAAAGAATATAGAATCAGTTATTTTAGTTTACAGATTTTAAAATCTGTAAAAATTACACTGATTCCAAAACAATTTTTTCCCAATTTTGAGTGTCTGTCCACAAATATGCATACAGGTTCTGCACAAAACGTTTCTGCAGTATAAATGCATGCTGCTGACATCCTGTCTTACTATGTCTTATCTGGCAAAAGGGGTGGAAGTCTATGTTTGTACTGCACATTCTCCAGTCACGTCAGAACTTTTCTGTATGCACGAGTGTGGGCGAAGTCTTATTGTACTTTGTCCTTTAGACACTCTTGACTGTGTATATCTCGGACTAGCCCTGCATTTCCCCCTTGCTTTCTCGCCACTTTCAGAGTCATTTGTACCGCATTCTGAATCGGAGTCATTTTTCAGTGGCCTCTCAATTTCGGCTTCTTCTATGCGAAATGAGGCCATGGTGGATAGTTGAAATTGTGATGTTTTATAAGTGTTACGATTAGAGCAGGCCACTCGACATCACTGGCCAACTTACTCTAATATGAGACTGAGGTGTCCTGTGTGCTCTTTGCATGGGAAACGGAGTTACATCCGGACAAAATGCATGAATTGCGATGTCGGACTCTGCATTCAGTTAGATGACGCAGGAGGGAAGACAGTCTACTTATAAAGCATGTGTCCAAAAATAATGTAAGTAGAACAAGAATTTCTATCTTAAAATTAGATTGTAAAACACTGTGCACATGCATGGACTGCGCATACCCATATGGTGTCGCACAGCCAGTCGGCTACACTTTAAAGGTCTCCATACGGTGGTGCTAGGCTCTTAAAGGGTAATACATTTTCAGCCGATTTTTGTAAGGCTTTAGTATGCAGCAACATTCCATGGAATAAATTAAGCAATTCAGTTCTGCGATCATTTCTGAAGAAATATTGTGTAATTAAAAAAATCCCAGATGAATCAACTCTTAGAAAAAATTATCTACCTTTGCTGTATGAATCTACTCTGGAGTCAATCCATTCTGATATCGGAGGGAACTGTGTCTGGATATCGGTGGATGAGACAACTGATTTATGTGGCTGATACATAGCAAATTTCCTAGTTGGTAAGCTACATCCAGACTAACCTGGCAACCCTCATCTTTTTGCTTGCAAAGTACTAGAGAAAACCAACCATAGCACAATAGCAAGATCCATAAATGATTCTCTGCAACTACTATGGCCATCTGAAATTGAGAATAATTGTTGTAAGGTGCTTGTAATACTCACAGATGCAGCTTCCCATATGTTGAAAGCAGCAAAGTCCTTACAAGTATTTTATTCAAATCTTATACACGTAACCTGTTTAGCGCACGGATTACACCGTACTGCAGAAAAAATACGCATACAGTTTCCAGCTGTGAACGATTTAATTGCAAGTGGGAAAAAACTGTTTCTGAAAGCTCCAGCTCATGTCCAGTTCTACAAAGATTGCCTACCTCAGGTTCCTCTGCCACCTGAACCTGTCCTAACTAGGTGGGAGACATGGATTACTGCAAATAAAAGAAGTGGTTACAAAACTTGAAGATGAGTATGCATGTGTCTGTCAAGCAAAAGTGGTGTTTGGAAGTGATACTGTTTATCAAGACGTGAATTTTATCCATGCACATTTTTCTACAGTTTCAAAAACCATTGAGGGCTTAGAATCTTGTGGTGCACTTCTTCATGACTCACTTGAACTCATTCAGAAAGCAACTTGTTCACTGAATTCCGCTCCAGGCGAAATTGGAGAGAAGATTAAATTCAAGTTAGAAAAGGTTTTGAAATCGAACCCAGGACTAAAAAAGATTCAGTCAATTAGTAAGTACTTGAGTGGAATTAGGGCATCTTTGCCAGATGAATGTTCCGAACCTTAGGCACCAGTGTATAAATACTGTCCAATCACGTCAGTTGATGTAGAAAGATCATTCTCAGCCTATAAACTCATTTTGACGGATAATAGGTGTAGTTTGCCTGCAGAAAACACTGAGAGACTTCTAGTTGCCTATTGTGATGCTACTTTCTGCAGTGAATGATACATGTAAATGAATAAAGTTACCCGTTTCTTAAGTGCATATTTTCCCGCTTTTTAGCATATAAAGATCCGGGCCCTAGTGATTAGTCCTTCCAAGCTGAAGCAATGAGTCAGCTGTGGGATATTAACCAGTCAGTAATAAAGGCATTAGCAGTGGACAGTTAGGAACCATTATGAGGAAATGACTAATGAAGGCACAGAAGACTTTTTATGTGTGCTGCAGTTACAGTGCTCTTTAGTATATGTAAACCAGTGATGTTTTACAGTTACTTGTAGTTATAAGATATGCAATGCGACAATATTATTTCCCCTTATTAACTACTGCAAAACTACTGTCACATGTATTAGTGACTACAGATGGGGTACAGATTGGTAATTGGATTTACTGACCATTTACAGGTTGTAACTACAAGTAATTGTTAACACGGTTACTAATTTTCACACTTCAAATCATTCCACACTAATCTTCTCAGTCTATTTCCAATGGTCTTCACTGTCCATTCCCTGGCAATGGATCTAGAATGCAAGAACTATAAAAGTCCCACTAAATCACACACTTCCACTATCACTGTACTATAGCACACACAAAGTCTTTAATTCACACATTAAGCCTTCACAGGCCAACTTCCAATTCTTCTTCAACTACAAACTTCCCGTGGCTATCTCCTACCAAGGACTGAGCTGAATTCCCATTCTCTTGACACTCTTCCTTCAAACTGGTTTCCTTATATAGACGCAGATACAACACGCATCACGGAAACCATGTCACACAATTGCTACCTTCTGTCGTGTGACGTCACCAAGCATGCACGAACTGCATAGACACGGAGAAAACACTGCTCCAGTATTGTTGGCCATGTGTTGCGGGCGTTGCCTAGCAATCGATTTACATGTCACAGTATTCTTCTATTTTTACTGTTATCTCACAACCACCGATTGTATTAACAGTTTCAGCAGGCCTATAGTTAGATTTAGTGATGGATCCAATGCAAGATAATATCAATACCCTATTGCAAAAGAAACCAAAAACATTTAAATTTATACACTAACAATCCACCTGACACTGGTTCCTTAGAACTGAAAGATGTAAAATGCTTAAGCTGTCTCTGTGCTTAACTTATTAAGCACTACATCATGAAGACACAAGGGGTGTATGGGGGAGATGTATAGACCCATGTTTTCTTGACCTAAGCACTATTTGGAGGTGAGTGGTCAGCTTCAAGCCCCGGTTGCTTTACCCTGGGGAAAGAGCCCCCCCCCGGTGCCCACTAGATAGGAGGCTGGGTGCACCCCAGAGACAGACTGGACAACATGGAGAAGTGAAAATTCTTGCCCCCATCAGCACTCAAACCCTGGCCTTTTGGTCGTCTAGCCCATAGCCAGTTGCTATACTGACTGTGCTACCCCAGCTCAAGATGTAATGGAAGTAAAAATTACCAAGTGGTAAAGTACTGTAATTTGCTCTGTGTGTATCAATAAACTCTGTTGAATTTTATCATTACCTGTGAAACGGTTGATGCGACACATGCAAAAGTCAATTTATGACCTTATATGAACTAAGCATTATTTTAAATGCAGATGGTTGAAAACCAGTACTGCCTGATATTTTATGGTGGAACTCCAGCATTGAATTTTAATAACATCTGTGAAACAGTTCAAGGAATATATGGAAAGTCCATTACAGCCTTATATAAATCAGAAACGATGAAAGAAAATGCTTGGTAACTGTAATTGTAAGACAAATATTTTCATCCGACTCCACCGAGGTTTCAACACCGTACACTCCGAAAACTCTGCTGGATAAATATAGAACCGAACTGAGTCTCAGCAGTGGCTACTGCCCAACACTACATCAGTGTATGTTTACGTGTGACCTGAGGTGCACTCCTTCACCTAACAATGGAGGTAGCAGTTTCCTCTGCCAGACTACATGGTGCCATACCCCACAAGACACTAATGTTTAGTATATTATTATTCTATCCAGCACTTGCCTTGCCTTCTCTTCACTGGAGGACAGTATTTCCAAGAAAGTGGGAGACTGATGTCAACAGCATGTATTCTCAATTTACAGCTGTAAAAAAATATAGTAAGATTATGATGCTTAAGTGCAGTTAAGACATCCATTGGCTGAAAAGTAAATTAGGACTGTCCAACAGGGCTTATTCCATTATCAACTGCAAGTGGGGGGGGGACATGAGACACAAATCTTCATATTATATTTGGTCTGACAAATTATTTAGTATTCCTTTTGATTAGTAATACAAATGGATTTTTGGTCTAATTTCTCACTTTCGGTATTACACTGGTGCAACGTGGGTTCAGAATCAGACTGACTCACCTGTCTGGCCCAGCTCGGATAATTCAACATACCAAGTGAATAGCCCTGCTATGCGTCATGAAAGTGAAGTTTCAAACTTTATCAACAAGCATTTCCATGTGAATCAGAAGGTAATTTCACAATCTATGGCAAATCTACTGAAAAAAATCTGTCCTTAAAATACAAAATATGTCCAACACCAGAAGCATGGAGCCTGTAAAATTACGTCATCTTTCTGCGAACAGGATATTTATGTTTTCCATCATCATCCTGCCAAGCATCCAGCTATGAGGCATCATCTCTTCAGTGAGCTTCCTATTATATTCATTGCTAGAAATTTTCAGTTACCTTCAATTAACATACCTCAAACATAACAAAGTAAGATCTGCAACTGGTCCATGACAATCGCGCTTGCATCCTGTATTGACTGCATGGTCATCCGAGTTTTCCTGAAACATTTCCAAGCTGTTAGTTGCAAATGTGATCGGAGCCAATAAGCAGCACTATATGCAGCCTCTTACACAGAGTCTTTTCTTCATACCTGCCTTGATTCTAAGAAATTTCTTCTGCAGAAGGAATACTCTGTTGCTATTGGAAGAGCTGTCCCACACCATGTCTTGAGTGAATGGAAATACTGCTTTCAAAAGCTCTTTCCCATTTGGGAACACAGGTGACCTTATCCATATTAACTTCCTTTCAGGAAGAGGGTACCACCTTCTGGGATACACCAACATACAGACCAGCAGATATACTTAGGTGTCCCAAGGGTACACACTGCCTCCATCTGCAGGGTTGAAGACCAAGTCAAGCAAGTAAACAACAAACACTTAATTTTTGCAAAATGAGTCCCATACCATTTTTCAAATGTAATTATGACTTTGAAAAACAAGGAGCTGTGGTTTTAACCTCCTTTATACATGGATCTCCATGGCTTATGGGCATAGAAATTATTGGTTCAACTAGTTAACATATTTTATTAAATTTCTTCGATCAAAGTTTATAGTTGGTTCACTGGCTATGAACCATTTGACCATAACAATACTGTTAGGGTTTACACTTGAATCATCAACTGCTATGCTGATACCACCTGCAAACAGGACATGTACTGAGACTGAGCTAATACTGGAGGGTACATCATTACCACATAACAGTGACTTGAAATTCATGTTCAGCTTTACCCCAGTCAGAATAACCTTATCTCTATCAGATACAATGTACACCATAAACAAGCATTTCCATTTATGCCTTAAGGTACATGCAAGGAATTACTGATTCGAATGCCTTAGTAACATTACAGAAAGCCCCACATACATCGTTTTTATTTCGTATGCATGTAATTTTTCATGAGTAAATCTGTATGACATTGGTCCTCTAAAATAAAACTGTTCATTAATTTAAATATCACTGGAGTTTAAATGGCACATTCGCTAGTGGGGGATGGAGTCCAGCTGGGTCCACTCGGCATGGCGACCACTGATTGGCCTATTGTACCTGCCCCGGGTGATTATGATGATGGAGAATTTGGTGGAATGAAGATTGGCAGGGGAAACCGAAGTACTCGGAGAAAACTTGCCCCAGCGGCACTTTGTCCACCACAAATCCCACTTGACCAGACCTGGGATCGAACCCAGGCTGCCACGGTGGGAAGCCAGTGACTAACCGCTTGAGCTACGGCATGGCATTAAATGGCGCATTACTCTCCTAAACCAAATTTTCTCCTACATGTCGGTACAAGACTAAACAACATCATATAACAGAAAACCAAAGTCCTATTATTCAATAATGTGAGAACATAAAATTGCATACTCCAGTTACAAATCTCTCATTCCAACAGCCAACCTTTCAACATAGTCGAATTTACAGAAATATCTGAAACCAAAAGTAAATACTTGCTAACTGTGAAATTGTTAAACAGAAAACACTGAGACATAGCGTAAGAAACCTTCACACAATACCCACTACAAAATGGCGACCAACCAGCATACAATATGGTGAGCAGCCTCTCCCCTCTTATTTTGGCTAGGTTGGGGAGGACGCTGCTTTCGTCCCTAGTTCTGTACATTGCGATCCCAAATACCTCCCAAGATAGAGTGGGATGTCCAAGCAGTATGTCTTCGACTTACAGTAGCCCAAAGAAACTTCCAGATAACAATTTCAACATATGTTTAATATAAACAACAAACAATACAATTACATTACATTACATTGCATTCCATGGATCAAAAGTTAGTCAACATGACTGTAGGATGTGGAATATGTCATATAAATACAAAACATACGTACAATCCCAATGGAGTTCTCACACAAGAGAAACCAAGAATACATAGTGACTACACACAAGGCTATTTAAAGATACATAAGTTATTTTCTAGACAACAGGTATTCATCAACAGAGTAGAATGAATGTGTAATTAAGTATCGTTTCAGTGCTATTTTAAATCGTGTCTTTTCATTCATAAGACCTTTGAGATCAGATGGCAGGTTATTAATAATATTAATTCCAGCATAATATGTGTATATATGCTTTTCTGAAAGCATGATAGGTTAGCAATTGGTTTATGAAGACAGTGTTTGTGTCTTTTGTTAACACTGTGTACATCCGCATTCATGTGAAAATGTTCTTCGTTATTTGTAATGGAGTTTATTAAGGAATATATATATATTCACAAGGAAAAGTTAAGATCTGTAGTCTCTTAAATAGATCTCTACAGGAATTATGGGATTTGACACCCATCATGATTCTAACAAATTTATTTTGCAATGTAAATACCTTTTTACTGTCAGATGAATTACCCCGGAAAATTATTACACACTACATTAAAGAGTGAAAGTAAGCAAAATAGATTGACTGGTTTTTCCAGTTTAATTGATTATCAATTTGCAAGCCAAAGAATTTTGTGTTTACTCCCTCTTCTATATATTTATCATTATATCCTATGTTTAGTGGATATTGTATTTTGTTATAAATTTTATTATATTTATTTTTTTCTAGGTTCAGGGACAGCTTGTTTGCAGAAAACCATTTACTCATTTGCAAAAGAACCTTGCTTGATAATATGCAGAAAGCATCTAAATTTTTACCAGAAATTATACACTAGTATCATCTGCAAATACTACAGGTATTGATGAGGTCCTTAGTGTAGGAGGGTCAATTTAATGTTAGTGCTTAATCGCTTGCTTTTGAATAGGGAAGATATTCTAATAAAAGGTGGCTTCGATCATATCAATGTGCAATCTCCATGTAACTGCCTTACTGAAGATTACACTGAGATACTTTACACTATTTACAAATGGAATGTTTAATCCATTCAGTGTAAAAAGTGACTCAGGCAGTCGACAACTGCAAGAAAAGTAGATCCCCTGAGTCTTAGCTTCATTAATTTTAACAATCCAGTGTTCACACCAGGTCTCCATTAAGCTGAGACCACGCTGGAGTTTTCTAATACAGACCACACAGAAAACATCGTTCCTCTGTTGCAGTGCAATTGTTGCATTTGTCTGTTGGGGTGCCCAGGTAATCGCCACTCAGCCACTGCCATTGTTTGCTGAGTCATTACTTAGCAACAGATGTTGTATAGTTGCTTATTTCGAGGTAGTTCATCGCAAGCGTCTACAACTACGCTGTTCTCTAAAGAACAGAGTCACCATTGTAGCTTTTGGGGAGTTGGGTTTTCAACATTATGTTAGGTTAGATTGCCGAGGGGTCCACTATTTGAATTCTGAAACTTTCATTGAAGCATACTGCCAAGATGCACATATTAAAAATGGTTTTCGGTCTGTACCATGCAAGAGGACATCGGACTTCCTACAACAGCTTAAATACAAATGTTAGGGTTTTCACATCACGTTCTTAGGCCAAGTATCAGTTCCTACCTCTAACTCCGCACTCTGGTCTCATTTTCATTAAACGGAGATTATCTTAAATTCAGATAGCCCACAGCAAACATTTTCTATGTTCTGTGCTATAAAACCTTAATTATAAGGGAACACGTATACCTTATACCTTGACTGATCCTGAGTAATTAAATCCCAGTACTTTATACACAACACTCCACGTGTCATATACTACGCCAATGAACTAATATCTCATACAATCATTACTCAATGTGTACAGGGTGTCTACAAATGTCTAACACATTTTGATCTTTAATAATTCGGGAAACAACAAAGATAGAAATAAACCTTTAGCAATAATGGAAAGATCAACTCAAAAAGTGTATTTTCCTCTTTACAGGTTACGAACGTGTTCACAGCTGTCAGTGCAGTGTTCATTGTTGAGAAAATGGTGACCCCACAAGTGAGAGCACAAACAGTGGTGTGGTTTTGTGAAACGAAATCGGTGACACAAACGCAGAGGAACTTCAGAGCACATTACCAGAAAGATCCTTCTTCTAGAAACAGTATCATAGACTGGAAAAAGAAATTTTTAGAAACAGGAAGTGTCCTCAGTAATAAGAGTTCCGGACGTCCCAGCACAAGCAATGAAGATGTTGAGCGTGTCCGAGAAGCACTTACATGCAGTCCCAGGAATCTTTGAGAACAGCGGCAAGAGAATTGAATATGCCAGTTTCAACAGTACGCAAGGTTCTACAGAAGAAATTACGGCTGTGTGCTTATAAGATGCAACTTGTACAAGCTACTGAACCACATGATAAGCCTAAGAGAACGGATTTTGCAACAGATATGTCACAAAGAATAGAGGATGATAAACGATTTCTTACAACCATATTGTTCTCTGATGAAGCTTGCTTCCACATTTCTGGAACAGTCAATTGCTATAACGTATGCATTTGGGGATCAGAGAACCCTCATGAATACCGTGAAATGGCAAGAGACTCGCCAAAAGTGAATGTGTGGTGTACTCTTATGCATGATCGCGTCACTGGGCCTTTCTTTTTCACGGAAAAGACAGTCACATCAGTCATTTACCTAGACATGTTGCAGAATTTTGCATTCCCGCAAACTGAAGCGCTTCAGCCCGAAATCATTTTCCAACAAGACGGTGCACCACCTCATTGGAGCACCATAGTTCGTGATGCTTTGGACAAACATTTTCCAGGGAGAAGGATTGGATGAGGTGGTCCAATTTCTTGGCCCCCAAGACCACCTGACATAACCCCACTGGGATTCTTCCTCTGGGGATATGTCAAAGACATTGTTTATAAGATGAAGGTGAGAGACATCGATCAATTAAAAACCAGAGTAAGAGACGCAATAACCACTGTGGATGTCTGTATGCGTGCCCGAACCTGGCAAGAAATCGAATATCGTCTTGATATTTTACGTGCAACAAATGGAGCACATGTACAACTTTATTAACAATAGACACAAAACTTTTTGAGTTTCTCAGTCCAACAATGTAACATTGTTAACCAGTTTATTTCTATCTTCGTTATTTTCCGAATTATTAAAGATCAAAATGTGTCAGACCTTCTGTAGACACTCTGTACTTTACAAATACAAATCACTCCGTCCAATGTAACATACAAGTTTTACTACGTGAAAACCTATCAACCCTTACATGTTTCGGTCCTTATGGACCATCTTCGGAAGGAACATCATTACAAGCTGGAAACTACTATCACAATAGGTGTTTTAATTACATACACATGTCCTGTAATGCACAGTGTACTTTGGTATGATATTTTTGCTTTGACAGGTTCGATTGAACCATATATGTGCCATATCACACCAAAGTACACTGTGCATTACAGGACATGTGTATGTAATTAAAACACCTATTGTGATAGTAGTTTCCAGCTTGTAATGATGTTCCTTCCGAAGATGGTCCATAAGGACCGAAACATGTAAGGGTTGATAGGTTTTCACGTAGTAAAACTTATATGTCACATTGGACAGAGTCATTTGTATTTGTAATTGTTAGTGTGACAGACCAGAATGAAACAAATCAAACTCTGTACTTTGTTTTCATGCCATGAAGACATTACAAATACATTTCAGTTTAATAATTTCAATTTTTAGAACCTCACAACAAAGTAATACAATATATTTTTTAAACATCTATTCGTACTCACCACTTCCTTTCACGCAGGACAAGATACGACCAGTTTCACAGACTGAGTACCAAAGTTACTATTTTCACGGGCTATACCAGCCCGCCCGATTCGGTGGAACCATGGCAAAGAGTATTTCTCACAGAGCTGCTTCTTTTGCAGCAACTCCATCTATCCGTCTGGGATTGAGGGAGCGATTTGTGTTTCTCACAGCGGTGACGTAATTATCCGTGGCGGTGAGCGTCGGTGAGCGCGGTGAATACGAAGAATTCGATCGGCTGAATTGCAGGGTAGGACACAGGTATCAAGAAGAACGTTCTGCCCTGAAGATGGAGGCGTGACTCCGAAAAATTAGGCTTTTTCAGAACTACTTGGCGTTTACACAGAATACGAAGTTTACATCAGTTGATGATATAAGTAATGAACCCACCATAGGGATATGAAGGCAAGGTTTTTATTCATTCTTACTCTAAGCATTATGGCTGTTTTTCAGTTGAGTTAGGGTTTGGCTGAGAGTTTAACGTTCCTGGAAGTTTCGGCTGTTTCTCCATCATGGATCCTGTCCAAGTTTCTTTGGCCATTCAGTAGTCAACTGAATGTTGTACAGTATCTGGGATGGCCGCAGGGGAAGAACTGCTCTGACAATAACAAAGTATTCCTTCAACAGAAGACTTACTGGAATCAAGGCAGGTATAGAGAACAGATAATCATACAAGAGATTAATTTACTAGGCTTCATATGCTGTTTATAGCTAGCGAGGGTTTGTTGGCTCTGATAACATTTTAAATGAACCACTTGGAAGTACACCAAAATGGAGTATGCCATGCTGGAACAAAACTGTGCACCCAGAAAAAGTTAAAGTGTTTATTGCCCAACAGTAAGCAATAAAAATGTCACCAAAAATACTCCTCCTTTGGCCCAGAACTTACAGCTTGCAGATTAATTTACATTAGTAATAAGTATTTTGACTGAATGTAATCATGTGTGTGACCTCGATCTGTAAATATGGACTGTATCCAAGAGTACCTTCTACACTGTCAATGATTCTGTATTGCCTAGAAACGTTTGGCTAACTGTATTCATGTGTCTGAATGTACAGTAAAGCTGCAGTGCAGTTGTTGATCATGTGTATGTGTATGTGCTTGAATCTGTTGTGTGTTTCCAAATGTGATGTGTTGTACTCCGATATGACCCCATACCCTGCTGTCCAGTATCCATGCGATACGTATATCTAGCCATTTGATTGTGGCTACAGTGACATCGAAGAGCTGGAGCTGAACTCGTTGTGTCTTCAGAGTATTTGGTCAGATAGAGGAAAAGCATTAGAATTTAGGAGAAGAGGTTTCATGTAGTGGTAAAATAACAGAAGTAGGGGATATTTTTAATAGTTGTATGGGCTCACAATTAGATTGGCTTTCCTTGTATGTTTCCTAAATTAGAATTTGCTTTTTTCTCTCTCTCTCTCTTTGAGTTCAGGGTCATCAAGCAAGAGAACTGAATTTGCCATAAATCATTTTTATTTTTAATCTGAAAATGTCATGCACCATGAAAGAGTACAGATTGGTTTTGGAATTGTGTGAGGGCAGAAGAGGGCTGATGTCCTGACATTTGAAGGGTTAGGAAGACTGCATAACATCTTGCTGCAAATTCTTCCAAAACCACAATAAATAAACTAAAGCATGTGTTAAATATGTGCTACAAATGAGGTTATTTATTTGAATTGGCTAGGCACACACACACAAGAACAGAGAAATATTATTGGTACATTTTCATGCCCTTTTACATATGTGTATGACTTTACTATACCAATTCTGTTAGAAAGAGAATTACATGTGTGACATCTTGAAATAAGTTGGCAGCCATGTGGAGTACAGCAGATGCGCACGTCACACTCTGTCACTATCATTAGAAACAAAAAACCCTGAGTAAAATTGAAATAACTGCCTTGTGGAATGTGATGCTGTGTAGTTTGTTGGGTTGGTACCAGTGTTTTAAAGGACCCTGCAACCTCCATCTTCATGTTCTCTTATATCCTGGTGTTCCAAAATGATGTGACCTGTACCCTGGACTGTACAGTACAGAAGGGAGTGAGCTCAATAGTCACTGTAATGAGAATCCTGCATTGCAAGGCATCCTTTGCAACTGACTGCGAGAGACTGTAGCTTACTTAACATTTCTCCATTGGGCCCACCACTTTCTGTAGCCAGGTGCTACCAAGCCACTGCAAGGCACTACACGTCACTCAAAGTGCAGGATTGTTGAACGATTGAAACAGGGGGAATGCACAATAGATCACTGAGGATCATAGTGCAAGGGCCAGTTTAGACCTACCCCTTATGCATTCATTCATTATTATTGCATATTTCCACACCTTTAATATGAGACACAGTGAAACCACACTAATTTGGACAACTTTTTTTTTGCACATTACCACCTTGCTGATCACATTGCTGTGATCAGCAAGATGTAAAAAAACTGTAGAAGAGGAGAACACAAACTAAAATAAATTCAATATTATATTTAAGCATCCTGTTGCACTCTACACGATAAATGATACAAACTCCGTCCTAAGTGCAAACAATATATATTACATGTCTTTGATCTTGTTCTTTCTACACTACATGATACAGCAGACAGCACACGTAGTACAGACAAGCAGCGGCACCCACACAAGAAGACTACATTAAATAACACCTATAAAGTGTGAAAACAAGAACTAGCCGCTCCAGCACTTAGACATAGGGCGAGTAACCCTAAGAATTTTAAATTTTAAATTTAAAATTTAGAGAAAATTTTAAAAGGTTTTAAAAACATCATAACTAAATATTTTTAGAGTGCTACTACAAGAATATCAAATTTGACGTGTGCAACACAATATCTACATACCAGACACATATCAACGATGTAGATGTTGATAATACGAAGAATGTGACGTGTTTTTAAATGTTAAATTTTAGACTGGGTTCAGTGTGGCAGCAACGTTAAGAGTATACACCTGATGATGGCCGATAGAGGCCGAAACATGTAGTGTAGAAAGAACAAGATCAAAGACATGTAATATATATTGTTTGCACTTAGGACGGAGTTTGTATCATTTAAAATAAATTCATTTTTTAAACATGGTCTCACTGGTATTAAGTATGTAAAAAGTAAACTCGTCCCTATGCTAAATTACTTAAGCGGCATATCATGATGACATACAAGAGTTTGAAGTACAGTTTCACCATTCATGACCTCAGCACTAGGTGGAGATGAGGGGTCAGTAAGTATGTAGGTTACCTAAAATGTTTTTAAGTCTGATGTAAAAACTTATTAACATTTTTACATTCCATGACGAGTACATTTTATTTTTATGATATGGAATTTGAGTTTCAAAATGAAGTTGTATTGCCTGAAAAGACTCTTGAAGAAGTCCCATCTTATAACTTCCCTCAACATATTTTTTGATAGCACTTCCATAATTCAGACTTTCACCGATTAGTCCGAATTAGTGAGGTTTTACTGTATTTATTCGTTTTGTTTCTGGTTCTGCCAGGAAGGATGCTGAGTTATTTTATGTTCAGAAAACATTTCTATGTACACACAATCATTAACCTCTCTAATACAATAGCCCACCATTGGACATAATCCTGAGCCAGTTGCATCCACCTACCTCTCACCCTCACAGTCCATTACACAAAGAAACATCATAATATTATGTTCCCATCTCTTTGTTGTTCTTGAGAACCTTAAATCCAGACACAGGAAAAATTTATGAGATAAAACGTAATGAAAGTTGTCACTGCCTTCTATTTCGTTCATATTTGTCTGTCTCAATCCAGACCCAAAATTTCTTCTCAGTGAATTTTCTGATGCATAGAGCCAACTTGTTCCTATTGACAAATTCTGCCAGTTGCATACCCCATTTCCAGGCATCGTACACAGCTCGCAGCAGGGTTCTGAGTCCAGGTACTAAATCTACTGCAACCACAAGACATTCACGAACAGCCCGATACATCATTCCTTCTAGGGACTCAATGTTCCTGCCTGTGGAATTCTTATCATAGTGTTTAAGATTATTCATAGCATTGTATGTCCTGGTGTCAGTAACAGTTTTGAAATTTCCAACATTTTGGTTTTCTATGTGTGAGATGTTGTACGGCCTGCGAGCAAGGTGGCCGACAGTATGCTTTGGGGCTCTGACTGCGTCTTTCCGGAGCAATTTATGGATACTGGTATTGAAGTATTCAGTTGCGCATGTAATCAGCTGTACCTCGTGTTTGTATGTGTTGTACAGTGACAGAATTACTTTCACTGCATGTTTTATTGGTTTGAGAAGTTCTGCTTCAACTGTCTTGTTATTAGGTGGACTCCTCTTGCTGACACTGTGCAGTATTTGTCGGTGAGTCACTTTAAGTGACTCATCACGGAATAACGTTACTGATGATGTATGTGGCGTACTTATTTCTACCAGAGTGTGGTTTGAAATGTTGCTCAGCTGATTTTGCCACCTGCAAATCACAAATTATGGGAAACTTTCAAAATTATTTACAGAAAATATTCTGCACAGATTTATATTTTGGAAAATATTTAAATTTATGTCACTTGCATTTCATAATCAGAAGGTGTAACCATTTCATTGTTTTTTGAAGTTCCCTTTGTAGTGTAGAATCTAGATGACAGTGTATATGGTTTTATGAGAAATATTAAACTCAATACAGCTGTCAGGAGTTCCAGTTTGCTTCCTGCAACAGAAAGTTTGAGGTTTTCAAGGCAGTGAAAGTTCATGTCATGTTTCCTAGGTTATGACACCATGTAGTCAGATAGGTTGGTAGGCCTTTCTACCCTCAGGATGGAACCAGTATGATCTTCTGAAACATTGGTACATATCTACCAGACTACACGGTGTCATAAGCCAAAAGGTGAAAATGATAGATAATTTATGATCATCTGGGCATGTTATACATAAGAGAAAAATATTAACTAACCCTCAGTTGTTCAGCTGACTACTCACTTGCCTGCAACTAATGCTGAGGTCACAAATACGTGAATCTACACATCCACTCGCCCATATACTTACATGGTGTAGCAATTATTGAGTTAAGCACAGGGAGAACTTTTTACCTTC